CCAGCTGTCCTCGCCGTGCGGCTCGTACTCGTCCGGCTTCAGCACGCCGCTGTACTCCGATTTCGAAAGCGAGGACGGCGATTTCATCGCCGAGTTGAGTCGGCAGATGGCGGAACGCATGCTCCAGGATGAAGACGAAGAAGAAGAAGAAAAACATGGAAATAAAAAATCGGACCCGAGCGTAAGTATAAATTTCGAACATCAAAATTCTCCTCACTCGTTCGTCGTCACCAGTTAATTTGCAGAGATTATTTGTTACCTCTTTGCTAATTTTCACTTTTGCTTTGCTGATAATATTGCAGTCCGGTGGCTCCGCGAAGAAAAACGGGTCGATTCGCCTGGATACCAGTGTCGGCGCCGTTGATGGCGGCGAAAATGGAATCGATTCGGGCCGGGCCGGACTCGATTACCGATTTCCCCCAATCCATGTAAAAACGGATGCTTATTAGTAACCGCGAAAGCGAAGTTCCCTTTTTTTTAAAAAATAAAAATAAAAATAATAATGGAATAAATTCATCTGGTAGGATTTTGAGCTGAAAAATCAAGTTCCAAGGAAAGAGGACCAGTTTGTTGGGGGCAGGCGAGTCAAAAGGACAGAGACAACTCAGCCGAAAACACAACGGCACCACCATCACCGCCAAACGCGGTACAAGGGGAGAAACGGGTCGGGTATGCAGGCTGTTTTCCTGGGTGGATCCGGTTCGGTTAACGTCCAGCCAGGAACCGGAGTTTTCCTGCCCCGGTTGAACACCGACCCTGCCGAGCCGAGAAAAAAATCGGGTAAGTGTGTTGTGCTTTACTGCGTTTTCTGTGCTGTGTGTATCTCTTAAAGCCGAAATTGTTACTTTGACCGGCATTAATTATAGAAAACAAAGTACTTAAGTGAGCAAAACCGAAAACCGAAATTGATTAGAATTTGCAACCGTGCCGCACTGATCCATCTAATAAAACCGAACTATGCATTAGTTGGAATGAAAAATGAAATGTAATAAAAGAAATTGAAAAGTGCGTGGTAAAATTAGCTAATAAGTTAGTTGAAATGAAAATTTCAACGAGTTTATTTGAAAAACTATCCAAAGAAACTTATAAGATAAGTTCGAGTTTTTTTCTTACCAAAAAAAGTTTATTTAAATATAGGAAGTTTATAAACTAACAAAATAAGTTATAAGCTATCTTATTTGTCTACAAAGATAACCTAAGAGGCTAGAGGCTGACAACTTTAATTGATAATTAGAAATTAAATATATATAATTTCGGTAAAATTCAGTTTAAGCGAAGTGTTGGTTTATTCAGTACACACCCTTCTAAAGCAAGGTTTTCGAAAACAAAAACCCAACGGATTGAACAATAAATTACATAAAACCACACTGCACATAACTAATCGGTTCGTTTCGGTTTGGTTCGGTTCAATTTCGCACACCCTAGCTCATAGCTAATGTGTGGGTTATTATAAATAAGGTCTCCAGTTTTATGGAACAAATAATTAGGTATATTCATGAATTTCCTTTTTCTTTTGAAAAATTCTTTCTAGTCTACAAAGAAAATAGAACTATGTTCTTCTAATAAAAAAAAAAAAATAAAATATAAAAAGAAAGTGATATAATTAGATTAGGATACGACTTTAGGATTGCCTAATGCTTAAAAGCACCCTTAACTATTGTAGAACCTGTTGACAAAATTATTAATATTTTTCTTTACTTAAACAATGATAGAGTATTCATTATTTTATCAATAATTTTGTCATTCATGTTGTTTTAGAATTATCTAGATATTTAAATTAATATGTTTCTAAATAAATTTATAATTTCATTTTAAATGATTTGGAAATGGCACTATCATATAAACCAAAAAAAAAAGAATTAAATTTAAATGTGAAAAAAAGGTTTTAAATATGTGCACAGTAACTCATTATTGCAGATATGCATTGCAGTACTCAACATCTATGAAGATTAATACATCTTAACTTCCATTTTAATATTGTATCAGATCAAAATCACTATCTAATTTGGAATAGTACTCGTAGGGCAAACATATGAAAGCGATTCGGAATCTTTTATTATTATTGTTATTTTTTTCGGATTATTTTTTATTCGAGTGATACAGATTCCATGTTATATTCGAGTGATGCAGATTCCAGGTTGCATATTCAATTCGTGCATGATGATGTTATCTCTATAATTGATGGGATATGAATAAGCCAACAAACAGGTTGAACTGGAATCTTCATGGTGGGATCTAACTTGGTTGGATTTTTCTAAGTACTTTGAGCCAAATAGAAAGCAACTAATGAGAACCACACATGGCTATAGTTCCCCCCCTTTGAGAGAAAACCTTTTCTATTTGCTCAAGTTGTAATTTTTTACACCACCCTTCTTCATAGTTTCACCATGGTTAAGTACAAGAAGCTACTGTCAAAAATTACTGGTCAAGAATAGTTAGGTCGGTTGAGCCGGTGCGCCAGATGTACTTGATAAAAAGAGTTAAATATTTTCTTAACATATCTTGATAATCTAGATAACAATCTAGTATAAGAGGTAACAACTTATACTATATAGCTAACAAAAATTAACAAAATATAATTTCAGAATTCAAAAAGTGTCATCAGCTAGCTAGAGATATATTCTAAGCGAATGAGTCGTTCGTTTTACTATTTTAGAAGAACAATAATTGCAACTAGGACTATAAAATAAAGATCTACATCAAGGCTCCTCCTCAATTGTATAGTTGATTTGCTTGTTGATAATTTTTGAAAGTGAAGTGACATAATATTCTAAGCACCATATATGATCACATCAACTATTGATCATGTTGGTGAATGATGATGAGGTTGGGTTGAAAAAAATCGAACGTAAACTTTATTCCTGCTTTTCGGAATAAAGTGAATCAATATATTCATATGTTCGAAAATAAAATGTAATTATATATATATTTTATATATATATATATATTCGTGATTTTTGCACAGGTTGCTCGATTGTCCTGATGCCGACAAGAGTGCTACAGACGTTGGAGCTCCATTTCAAGCAACGTCATCAATCCATAACATCCCTACCATTGAACGATGGTGGGTCTCTCGTTCACTCTTGGCCCAAATTAGGTACCTTATTATCCTTTTGCTCTCTCTCATAAAGATATTCCGTTTTTTGAATCTTGAATCTTGAATCTTTCTTCACCACCCAAATGGTCCCCAAACCTTAAATGCGATTGAACATCACTTTAGTAGCTAGCTGACTATTATTATTGAAACACAAATTCGACTTTTCCTAACTGTTGTGTGGGTCCATCTCTCATATTTTTTTATTTTTCTTTTTGTTTTTTCTTTTTAACGAAAATGTGTTTTTACATTGTAAACCGTAGTTATACTTTTGTTTACGTTGTTATTTCGAATGTTACATTTTAAGGTTGGTTGACAGTATGTGACCGTCTAACGGTTATATCTACCTAAAAAAGATAATACAGAAAATGTTCCTATATATCACTAAAAATTTAGTTTGAGGTTCGATTTCAGTCATAAATATATATAGTATTAATAAAAAAATATTTTAATCATGGTTTCCCATAATTAGGATTTAGGAAAGAATACAGTTGACAATCAATTTTATCTCATAGTAATGTTCTTCCTAATCAAATAATATTATTTTTTTTTCAATTTTAGCAAATCTCGGATTTCCTTTTGTAACGATCACTATATATGTAACATACGAGCAAAAATTCAAAAACATAAACTTGAAAAAAAAAAAAATGGCACCACTTGTGACACCAACTGTCTACGTTTAGCCGATAATCGAACTCTATGAATCGTTCGTGACTACGAGTCTATGAACCACTTAATGCAAGTATACTTATCGATTTTCTGATCATAATTCAATTGAAACATCTTGAGCAAAAGCTCTATTAAGAATATGAAAATGACTGCTACCAATTTGGTTCTCATCTGTCTCACTCTCATATCCACTTGAAATAATGTCGGAACCATTTGTTTTTTTGTTTTTTATTTATTTTTTGTTTTATTGAAACACAATGATAAATAGCAAGAATAGACACTTTGATTTTGTCCTCAACAAACAGTGTATTATTATTATTATTATTATTAATGAAAGAAGCATGTGCAGGTGAGTCCACCATATCAAAGGAGCAATATTCACAATCACAGCTTGAAAAAGACCCTCCAAATGGCGACGATATGCAACTGCCGCAAGAATGGACTTACGAACAATAATGTAGGTCGTAAATAATAATAATAATAATAATAATAATAATAATAATAATAATAATAATAATAATAATAATAAATGAACTGCACAAGTCAGCAGAGAGGAATCTTAAAGGAAAAGACAAAAAAAGTGAGATTGAAAGGGAACATGGTTGAATAAAAAGTGTGATTTGGAGTAAGTTGGGTGTAAATGGGGTCAATTTCTAGGTGTTGAATAAGCTGCTGTGAATTTTTTTTTTTTTTTTTTTTTCATTTTCTGTAAATAAGTGAAGTGTTGATTATTGGCTAAAATATCTGTATCATATTTGAAATTTATGGAGATTCAATTAATTTCAATTGGTGAACGCGTGACTTTTGGGGACATTCATTTAATTTCATTTGAATAGACACGTCCACGGGCCGAACCGGCCCGTGAACCGGTCCCGGCCCGACCCTAAACCGGCCTCCTAGGGGCCGGTTCGTTGAACTGTACCCTTAGGGTCGCGATTCGGTCCTGGTTCATAATTTTTGTTTTTGGGGGACCGGATGGTCCGAGCTAGATCGGGTCGGACCACGGGTCAGACGACGAGCTACGGTGTTCTTTTTTAAGGTCGTACCGACCCCTGACCGGCCGAGTCTGTGAACCGACGGTTCAGGCCAGTTCATAGTTTATTTCAGGCCGGTCACGGGCCATGATAATGAGGGTCGGGTCGCGGCCAGACAATTGGCCACCTCTACTATTGAAAAGATAGTGTGTTAGAGTGACCAAAAATTCTATCAACTAGCGGATGACTGAATTGACAAGTTAACCACCCATCTTAAATATTTATTTTGGGGGTGTCTATATGTACACCCCCTCAAGTGTAAAAAAGGGGTGTACATATAGCACTTTTCTTTGTGTAATTTATTAAAAGGGGGTGTACATATAGCATTGCCCTTTATTTTTAGTACACATGTCAATACATTATTTTCGGCAATGTCAATACACCATTTTCAAACAGTTGTGATGGTCAAAAAAATCCAAATATTTTTAACTCAACCACTTTTTTAACTCAAGTTTAACTCAACCGCACTATCATCAATATTATCAATATAATTAAATAATATCAATCAATCATTTTTACACACAACATTACCTTAAATCACTATTTATCCACTCGCATAATTTTAACTAAGCATCACTTTAAATCTTCTCTTTCCTACTTTATATCAAATCAACTTTAATCATTTTATATTAAATATTATTTTAATACATCCACTAACAATTAACCATACCAACTTTTTCAAACCTAACCAAACCAAACAAAAAAATCCAAACAAAACCAACAATTTTTATATCCAATCATCCGTAAGTTGTACTATTTGATAGCTCGAAAGCAAAACTATGGAAAAACAGAGAGAATAATATATATTAAATATATATATATATATGTATAAAGGGAGTTAACTTTAAAAATAGAAATGATAATTTTTATTTTCGATTGAAGTTGAAATATATTTATATTTAATTTCATATCTCTCACTATTTTGTTTATATCTGTTGACAACGATATTAAATATTGGTTTGGATTTTTTTTATTTTTATTTTTAATTTCATTTGGTTGTACCAATTAATTTAGTTATTTAAGAACGTTCAACCGTGCATTGCAGTACTTGTACGCTAGAGTAGCGACTTGTGAACAGAAGAGATGTTACGCATTCATTGGTTGTTTTGCTATATTTGTCAAACGAACTTATGGTGCACAAATTGAGTTACCCCTACCATTCCAGTGTGTGTGGGTTGTCGAATTTAAAGTTATTTTCGGAGTAGAGCTTTCGCTAGATCTAATTGAATCGGTTGTTCTCGATTGTTTTCTAGTCTGTAAATATGTGTATTCATTATTAAAAAGTCGTTTCGAAAAAAGAAATGACTTTTAGGAAATGATACGGTTGTTCTTGATTGTTCTCGATTTGTATTTTCTAAATTAGGATATGTAAACTCTCGCTATAATGCACTGAAAAATTAATTATGAGGTGTATTTAATTAGGATTTCTATAGACTTTTTAAGACTTGATAAGAGAGAGACGACACAAAAGTTTGGGGTATGATCATCTCAATCGGATGATACAACTCTCTATAAACCCAGAATATATACACAAAATTAAGATTACAAATAACCTAAGGCTAATATGAGAAATACACAAATATACACAATAACACCCCCTCAAGTTGGAGCATGTGGATTCCGAATGCCCAACTTGCCAAGAAAGAAATCAAATTCACGTTTCCCAAGCGCCTTGGTGAAGATGTCAGCGAGCTGTGCCCCAGAAGGAACATGAGTAGTAGAAATGAGACCTTGAAGAACAGCATCTCGAACAAAGTGGCAATCCACCTCAATGTGCTTAGTGCGCTCGTGAAAAACCGGATTAGCCGCAATATGCAGTGCAGACTGACTGTCATAGTGTAACCGCATAGGCTGAGAGTGAGCGACACCAAGAGTAGATAACAGCCCCCATAACCACTTCAACTCGCATAATGTAGTAGTCATCGCCCGATATTCAGCCTCAGCAGAAGAGCGTGCCACAATAGGTTGTTTCTTGGTTCGCCAAGAAACAGGAGACTGACCCAATTGAATAAACCAACCAAAAAGAGAACACCGAGTGAGAGGGCAAGACGCCCAATCTGAATCACACCATGCATAGAGTTGAAGATCGCAGTCAGTACGAAGATGAATCCCCTGACCAGGAGAGCCTTTCAAATATCGAAACACACGCAGAGCAGAGTCCCAGTGAGTCTGACGTGGTTGATGCATAAATTGAGAGAGCATATGCACCGAGTAAGACAACTCAGGTCGAGTCACTGCCAGATAGATAAGACGTCCGACTAAACAACGATATCGCTCGGGATCAGACAATAGATCACCATCAACAAGAGGGAGCTGATGATTCTGCTCTAATGGAAAATCAGCCGGCTTGCTCCCTAGTAGTCCGACCTCAGCTATAATGTCAAGATCATACTTCCGCTAACAGAGAAAGAAGCCAGAAGAATTCCGGGCAACCTCGATACCCAGAAAATACTTAAGCAACCCAAGATCCTTCATGAGAAAACGACTCAAGTAACTCTTGAAGGCCGCAATAGATGTTGTGTCATTCCCGAAAACAATCAGATCATCAACATAGACCAGAACCTGCAGATGGACAGAGCCACTATGCAGTGTAAAAAGAGAGTAGTCATGATAGGACTGACAAAAACCATACTGCTTCAAAGTCGTAGACAACTTGGCAAACCAACAGCGGGGAGCCTGCTTCAAGCCATAGAAGGAACGACGAAGACGACAAACTTGCCCATCAACGCCAGAGCGAAAACCAGGGGGAAACTTCATGTAAACCTCCTCAGCCAAATCACCATGAAGAAAAGCATTGTGAACATCCATCTGGTGAACTTCCCAATGCTTAGCAGCAGCCACAACTAAGAATAACCGTACTGTAACCATTTTGGCGACGGGAGCAAATGTCTCATGAAAATCAAGACCTTCCACCTAATTATTGCCCAAAATCACCAAACGCGCTTTATAGCGCTCAACGGAACCGTCAGACTTATGCTTGATCTTAAAGACCCACTTGCACCCAATCGCACGCTTCCCAGATGGAAGAGAAACAACATCCCACGTGTCATTATTCTCCAAGGCACGAATTTCATCATGCATAGCGGCTCGCCATCGAGTATCAGTCACAACATCAACAAAAGTGCGAGGCTCAACAGGGGAGGCGACAACAGCGAAAAAGGCTCGATGAGCTGGAGAGAATGAATCACAAGTAACATAATGTGCTATGGGATACGGCGTACTGGAGGATGGAGACGACTAGGAAGAAGCAGTGGATGGTACAATCGAGGGTCGGACAGTGTCAACAACAAAGTCCTTTAGCCGAGTGGAAGGAACTTTAGTCCGATGACCACGACCCAAGGGCTACACTGGAAGGATGGGAGGGGTAGCGATAACGGATGCCCCCCTATCGTCAGATGTGTCCATATCAGTAGCAGAAGACCCAGTATCAGGAGAAACATGAGGCAACGGGACAATCGGAAGATCCTCATCATCATTCGGCGCAGAAGAAACTGGCACAACAAGAGGCGGTGGCGAAGAATCTGGCTCAGACGATTCTGACTGGTATGGGAATTCAGCCTCAAGAAACTCCACATCACGAGAGACAAAGAAAATCTGACGATCCAAATCATACAAAGACCACCCCTTTTTGCCAAAAGGATAGCCAACAAATAGACAACGACGACTCCGAGCAGCAAACTTGTCACCATTACGATCTTGGTTATGAGCATAACAAAGACAACCAAAAACCCGCAAATGAGACAAGCAAGGAGTCGAACCATAAAGAATCTCATATGGTGTTTTACCATGTAAAACCGATGAAGGAGTCCGATTTATCAGATAGACCGCAGTCAAAACACAATGACCCCAAAAAGGAAGAGGCAGGTGAGCTTGGAAACGTAAAGCACGAGCTACATTGAGAATATGCTTATGTTTGCGTTCCACACCCATTCTGCTGAGGGGTGCCTATGCAAGAAGTCTCATGCAAAATCCCTTGACGACGAAAATAAGAGGTCAAACACATGAACTCACTTCCATTGTCAGTACGAATAACACGTACCGATTTATCAAATTGTCGCTTAATCATAGACAAAAAATTCAGCAATGTGGAAGCAACCTCCGTCTTATCATTCAATAAATAAACCCATGTCCCACGAGAACAATCATCTACAATAGTCAAAAAATATCGTGCACCACAGAAGGACGAAACACGATACGGACCCCACAAATCACAATGAATCATATGAAAAATCTCATGACTAACAGTCTGACTGAGAGGAAAACTACGACGATGTTGTTTAGCACGAAAACAAGCATCACATGATTTATGCAAATTACGAGAACTCGAATCAATAACAGGAACCTGGGACAATACTTGAGCAGACGGATGTCCTAAACGTTGATGCCACACATCGGTGGAAACCTTTCGAACACAAGAAACTGCCGTAGAAATCGACTCTCGAAAGAAGTAGAGACCACTCAACTGCTCACCCTGCCAATCACCTTCTGCGAAGTGTGGTCTCGAATAACACAAAATTTGCTAGTAAACTGAGCGGTGCAGTCGGAACGATCCAACAATTGATATAATGAAATCAAGCTGCACCGAAGGCTAGGAACGTATAAAACATCATAAAGAGATATATGAGATCCCAAATACACAGTCCCAGCCTTGGTAGCCATAGTCAATGAACCATTAGGCAATTGAACAGGACGGACGGGAATATCCCGAACAGAAATAAACTCCAGGAATCCTGTCATATGATGAGTTGCCCCACAGTCGTACATCCAATCAAATAAACCACGCGTACCAGACAAGGGATTCAAAACTCCACTAGTAGTGGAAGAGCCAACAGAACCGACAATAAACGAATCTCCGATAGCACTGGAAAACGCTACATTCGCACGAGCATCACTCTTGCCGTGAGCTCCACCACGGCGGCCACCACGGGAACCGAACCATACCGGATATCCAATAATCTCAAAGCATATAGCTGCAAGATGGCCCATTCGGCCACAATGAGAACACTTGGGACGACCATTAGTACGGTACCCAACAATTCGGTGCTATCTTCGGTCACGGCCGATGTCGAAGAATATGCCATGGAGCCACAATAACTATGCCTTTTTCGATGAAAACTTTCTGGGGAGAAATTGGCGCAAAACAATACCTCACAGAAATTGGCCCACAAACAATTTGGACACAAACACAATTGATAATTCAATTGATTCGAACTCACAGGCTCACAACAATTGGTAATTCACACTCACAGCAATTGAATATCAATTAATTCCATTGTTGTAATTGATACCTCACAGCAATTGGCCCACAAACTTAAATTGAAGGGAAATTTGATGCCCGCTGCCGCAATTTTTGACTTTTTTTTTTTAACACTAAATCGGCGAGGCAATCCGAAACGACACAAAAGCACCCGAACTGAAGGATGAAGACAATCCGAAAAATATGGATGAAGACAATAGACAAAAAAATTTGACAGATAAATTTTTGCGATTGAACAAATCTAGCTCTGGTACCATGATAAGAGAGAGACGACACAAAAATTTGGGGTGAAGATCATCTCAATCGGATGATACAACTCTCTATAAACCCAGAATATATACACAAAATTAGGGTTACAGATAACCTAAGGCTAATATGGGAAATACACAAATATACACAATAACAAGACTTTAAAAATCTTAGTGTTTTCAATTTAAGTTTGTTAAGACTCTTAAAAGTATTGAGGTATTCAATTGAGATTTTAAAAAGTTTTACAAAATCTGATGTATTTAACTTATTTGAGACTAGAATTTTTTAAGATTCTTTATGATTTGGTGAGATTTCTAAAAAAAACTTATACGAAATCTCACTTAAAATCCCAACTTCAGACTTAGAATTTCATGGAATTTCTACACAATGTGAAAATCTTAACACATCTCAATTCTTAAAAAGTCTCAAAATGACACTTGAAATCTCAATCAGTTCCGTTTGTGGATAACTATAGTAGGAAGAAGAGAGAGAGAATTATAAAATGAAAATGATAATAATAATAATATATTATCTCAAATCACTAAAATTAAGAAAATTTGAGATAAAGATAGTCAACCAGTAATTCTAAGATTTTAATCTACTAACAACAATTATTCAGATACAGAGTATGCAGATAAGTGGACCTCACTCATATATGTTATGTACATTTCTATGTACATTTATTATGTACTTGTAACATTTTTCTTCCCAGTTAACATGATAAATATTTACTTTCTTTATAGTGAATACAATAAAGAGAATTGATGAACCATCAACAATATAACAACCCAACGTAACTAGTAAAGTATCATATATTTAACGGGCAAATTCATCATATATACTTGAAGATAAACCTTATTTAACGGGCAAATTCATCATATATACTTGAAGATAAACCTTATACCGTGCACACAGAACTCCTTTTTATATAAACCCTAGAATATATACACACAGCACACGCCAGTCAAGATGCATTTACATTCAAATGTTCGGTTAATCTAAATCGATACGTTAAAACTTCAACCAAAATATTACATTTTTTTTTTTTAAATATTCCGCCAATGCCTCAGCCTGTTAAAGGTTTAGCTAAAACAATAAAACATAAAGGAATGCTAAAAGAACACGAAATACCAGCACAATGACCTTTTCTGCATTTTCTTCCTTAACATGAAAAGTAAAACATATTGGGGGAAAAAAAAAGAGAGCTCAAATTAAATAGAATAATAAAACGGAAGATGATGGTTAGAGATGGTAGAAAATCACTTGCAAAGTTTAAATTGGACACGAACGTTAGCAGAAAATGTTTGTCTAAGTTTTTTTTATGTATGCAGATAATTAGCCGCCATCATGAGTTCCAAAGTCAGCTCTGGTTCGATGTGGAACTCAGTTTCCTTGCCACTACAAAGTACAAAGCCCAAACGATCCGAACATTCGAACCACAAATCCAGAAAAAAAAAACGAGAAATTACGGTTCCACCACTTGTCAATCTAACCAATTTCCTATAATCAGAGAATCTAGATTGACAAAAGGAATTTGCTTACTTAGGCAAGTTAATTATAGCCATGATTATCCGAGCACATGAGAAAAATGGTGTCAATGCTAACAATTGAACACCAGACTTCAATTCTTGGATATTTCTTAAGAAATAAACACACAGAAAATAAGAGGCAGACAATAAACCTGGCATATTGAAGAGACCAGTAGAAGTACCGGCAAATCTTCTCCAGAATAACCGCGCTTATCTCCGGAAACGTCACCTCTCCATGCTCCGTCTCAGCAAAACTACCTGAGACATGCAAACACATGAACTTTTCCCCCAAAAAAAACAGGTCAGACAAGAAAGAAAAACTAAACTAATCCCCAAACAAGTTTCAATTTTTCTTACAAAAAAAAAGAACAATTTCTGCAAATTTTTCACCTTTTAGCTAATCAAAGGCTACAAGTTTGACGAATCTCGAATTTCAGTCAGTAATCATCCCAATTTTATTTTTATTTTTATTTTTACTTTTTTGTCTGAAAAAACAATTAATCCCCAAACAAGTTTCAAATTTTGTTTACAAAAAACCCTAATTTCTGCACTTTTTCGCAATCAATCACCTTTTAACTAATCAAATGTCACAGCTTTGCACGATTCTCGAATTTCGGCCAGTAATCCATCCCAATTATTTCTTGAAAATCGAAGTTCCTCAGACTCTCCGAGATCAATTATAAGTATATCCATACAGAAAAACCAGCACATTAAGGATCTACGTTCCAGAAAGAGGAAACTTTCGAGGATACTAGGTTAACCATCGATTTCATTCGGAGTTGTACCCAAAAAAAAAAGAGGGGACCTGGAGAAGTGAGCATGTTGCGGATGGTCTGAGAAACCATGGCAGCGTTCTTGTCGACGACGAATTCGAAACCTTCGGCACTTATCATCTTCACAGTCTCGTCCTTCTTCATCCTCGCCAGCCGCTGCCCAGATAGTGCAAACTAATTAAAACTGCTCTTTGCCACAGAGATTAATTAAGAAGTATTATCATTGTTTTTCAACAACGGGTGGGTTATTTGGACCTGGTAACAATAGGCTCGGTCAAATCCGATCAAAATCTGGTCAACACGGCTTTGACCCAGGTCGGGTCAACCTAGTTGATCCGATTCATATGTATTTTTTTTATTTTTTTTTATTATATAAAAAATAAAAACTATGTAAATATATTGATATAGAAAATACTTATTGTGAAATACAATTCTTTTAACACTTTGATGTAAAAATTTTATATACAAAATATTTTTTTTTGTTACTTTTATGTATATTTATATGTCAAAAATACTATATACATAATTTTAAAATTAATTATCCGGTTCAGCAATTGACCTGGTGACCGACGGTTGAACCGTCGACCCGGTGACCCGGATACCTGCCCGGGTCGATTTTCGGGCCGAGTTTAAAAACTATGAGTATTATTTTGTTTCTTATTTCATTGGCAAGGTGCATAAAACACACACACATTAATCACATTTTATTTTGTTCTTTAAATCAAATATATGAGTTTTGATATTGTGCAAAGAGAATAACATAGTGTGTTTGGTAAGAATCACCAATCAACTTATGACTTATTAAATTACTTTGTAAGAAAAAGTCTCTTTCTAGAGTTTTGGCTCTTACTTCGACATCTCAGTTCCACTTAGTTGGAAGATCGATCCTTCAGCTTATGCAGACTGCTTTAATCCCTTGTCAACCTTGATTATCTTTTGTGATTGTTAGCCGAGATTGTCTTATTCTTTGGGGAGGGTTTGTGTTTGTGTAGATCTGATCCTTTACACCTGGTCATAGGCTATTGGTTGTCATGTTCTCTCTTTTGTTATCCTTGTTGGCATAGTCCTATTTGTGGTGTCATTTATAACTTCTTTTGTTTTGGCTTTGTTTTTTCAAGTACATCTTTGTCTCATCTCTCAGCTTAGTCAAAATTGGTTCATTTGGTCGAGTTTTTTTTAGGGTTTCTGATCTATGACAAACGACTTATCAGAAAAACTAGGAAACTTTCGGCTCTCTGAAAAGGAAGAAGGTGGGGTGGAAGCCTTGGCAGAAGACATTCAGATCGGGAAAAAGGAATGTGCCCTAAATCTTATGGGAATCTTGTTTGGGGGAAAAAAGGGCGAATATTGGAGGATTGAAAAGTACTTTGCAAAATGTGTGGTATACCCAGAAACCGTTCAGTTCGAGGATTGTTGGAAATAATAAATTCCAATTTATTTTCCCATCGGAGGAAGATCGCAGAAGGGTCTTGGAAGGGAAAGCTTGGACCTTCGATGGTCAATACCTTCTACTGAAAGAATGGGGCGAAGAGAACAATGGGTACACGGAGGAAGAGTGCAAGGTTCAACTATAGGTGCAGATCCATGATCTTCCATTGCACTGGATATCAGAAGAAATTGGCCTCAAAATCAGAAAATTATTTGACAACGTAGTGGCAATAGTGGTCCCAGAAATAGGAGGAGCATGGGGAAGATAGTGAAAATTCTGGCAGAGATCAACCTGAATGAACCGATCCTAAGAGGAACTAATGTCAAGATAGGCAAAGAATCAAAGTGGGTAAGTTTCAGGTATGAAAATCTACAAACTTTCTGTTATTATTGTGGCAAAATAGGACACTCAGACAGAAGTTGTGCTATGAAAAAAGAAGATGTGAGGAGAAATATGTTAAATAGTGGACAATATGGGGACTGGTTGAGAGCCACTCAGGGATTTGGGGGAGTGAGTAGAGGGATAGGAATAGGGGTGAGTAATGCTAAGCCTGATACAGAGGGAAGAAAATCAGGGGAAAATACAGCTCCTAATGTTGAAAGGGATAAAGATGAAAGTTGTAGGCATAAAAATTTAGAGGGTAGTGGGAACACTAAGAGGGTAGAGAGTAGGATTGTTCTAGATGAAGTTGCAGAAGTCCCTATTGAGTGTCAAACAAAAAATTTTGAGGGACCTCTGTCTTTTGAGGGAGGGAAAATAACTAACAACATGATCCAAAGGGAAGAGGAAAAGATTCCAAAAAATCTGATTTCCTCTGACCCTATGTGTCTTGATAGATTTGTTACTGTTCCTGTGCAAATTGCCACTGACAGAATCCTTGAAGATTTGCAAGTGCAAAAGGAGCCCTCTAAAAGTTTAAAGAAACCTAAAATTCTAGACAGGCAGAAACTAATTGTGGCTAAAACTTATGATATAGAGGTTCGTATTGCTTTAAGCTCTAGGGAGCAGGAAAAAAAAAAAAGGTGATCAATGCTCCCCAACCTCTGAGGGGGAACCTTCAGAGGCTAATCAAGCTAAAAGACTGAAAATGGTAGAAGGTCAGAAGGTTTTGGAGATTGATATGGTGGAGTGACCAGCCATAAATGGTCCCCAAGTTTTAAATGAAGGTATGTGTGTGGAATTGTAGAGGACTGGGAGGGCCCTTTACAATTTCCCAACTTAAGAAATCCATAAGTGTAACGCCCCGTATTTTATTAATAAAGGAAAATACTAGCTTTTAGTTTAAGCTAGCCTTTATTAATAAATATTCATGTTCAAGTCCGAGTTTATCAGCTAGTCAGATTCCATGTTCGACTATTAGTCGATATGATGTTCGGTTTACTTATTTTAGTAACCGAATAAGTTTTCCAGATTTAATTCCGATTCATTTAATTAATGAGTCCGGAATTAATTATTCAGTCAGCGACATTTTGTCAGTTTTTCAGTATAAATCATATTTTAGTTCCGATATTATTTTCGGAATTAATTATTTTCAGTCAGTTCAGTCGAAATTACCGGAAAATATTTTCGACGTACCGTTCACGATCAAAATAATTTTGGTAATTAAGTATTATGCTTAATTGAATAATTAAGCAAATTATGGTGATTAATTGGTAATTAATCTCATATATCTAGGTAAGGCCGTGAGTAAATTCAAGCTAAGGCCGTGCGTATGCATATTTATGTGCTATGTGTAAGTGTTAGTCATGTTTGATTCAAGTTCATGTGCTAGACCGTGTGCTCCATGAGTGAGTGCATTGGAGATTCGGTCCATTTCATGTTCTAATTACCGTGCATGTGTTAATGCATTGTCCTAAGCATCCGTGCCCAACGTTTTCATAAAGACCGTGCACCACATTTGGCCTTTTGTGGGTAAGTGTTCTGTTATCATCCGACTCGACAAGACGCTGTTAAGAGGTTTTAAGCATCCTATTAAATGCGATTAAACTGTTAAACCGACATGAATCAGAACCGCACCGATCAACACCAAAGAACCGGTCTGAACCACCAAAGACCGAAGTGATCAACGATTACCGAGGTCAACATCCACCGAGGACAACATGAACCGAGGTCGTCACCTCCTTAAGCAGGTGACAAGGCATCTACGAGAGACTCTCCTGCTCCACAAGATCTGTCATCATTTACGTGGGGCCCCCTGCCTCAAACCGCCCATAAAAAGCCACTTTATTCAAAAAGTAGTACACGGATCCCAATGTATCAATCCGAAACTACTATAAATAGCGGACCTATGACAACTGTAAGGGGATCGATCTTTTTTTCTCAACAAATTACCGAACTGTAAACCCTTTACTAAGCAACACGTAAAAGCCCATCACGGCTCTTCACCTCGGTTCACCTCGGACCGGGGCCATTGTTGATTCAATCTTACATGCTTTACGTTCAAATCATTCCAAATTACTCATTATTCACTTAAATCATCAATTACATCGTTGTTAACAATCACATAACAACATGTTCCAAGGATTCCATCCTCCTTGTCATGTAGCACATTTTGTCCCATTTGTCCTCAAATATTCGTGCCATCATTTGTATTGTTGTGCATGTGAGCTAGTGCATTTTGCCTCAAATGCCGTGCATATGTGGGTGTTTTGACCGAGCCTCACTCGTCATTGTGTCTTGGCTTCACGTGAGTATGGGGGCAAGAGGAAGAGCATGTGTTACACTTGTCCAAGCTTTGACCATTCTTGTTATTTTTTTTCCCCATGCATTCGGCCTTATACATAAGGGAGTGTTGGAGGATTCTCCATCTTCTTTCCTCGCATAATTTCATAGTGCCGAGAGAGTTTGGTGAGTGTGGAGTGTTAGTGCCGCAAGCCTCGAGTCATCGCTACGTCCGCGAGCCATCACGCGTCCAGCCGTCGCTACCGTACGCGAGCAGCATCCACCGTACGCGAGCAGCACTCGTACGCGAGCCGCGAGTATCGCCCGCGCAGCAGCAGCACGTCGGTGATCCGAGTACGAAACACACGCACGCACGCGGAGGGACGACCGAGTACGGGAGTTCGAGCATTTAACCTCTTGAGCTTTATAAGAGGTAAACTCCCGTCGACTATTGACCGTTAGTATCATGTTTATGAAGATTAGTTTTTATTTGGTCATGCATGCTTGTATTGAGTAGTCGTAGCCGTTGCCGTACCGCCATGTCATGTTATAAGTTATATGCTCCGAATCATGTTATGATTTTCATGGAATTCTCCGAATAATCCTCGCATACTTA